GATATTGCCAGAAAAAATAATTATAACCAACCTTAATCATTACTTTTTTCATCACTTAATAATATTGCAATACATAATGTTTAAGAAATATGGAAAGTGAGTAGATATTATACTCAACAGTCCACATCTCAATATGTGATTATACTTGATGATGGGTCACATTTATGTACATGTCTTTGGCTTATTAATCATGGAATTGCATGCAGACATTTTTTTCAAGTTATATCTTATTCATCCAATACTCAATTCCTTATTTTACAACATTGGTATAATGATAAGAAATATCATATTAGTCGACAAAAACATTATTTAATACTAACTTATCAAATCAAAAAAAATGAAAGATATTTTTTTTGTCTCAATCGTCATTTCAGCATCTTGAAAAGGTTAGGCAAATGCCTAATATTAGACAATTGTAAAGTTCTAAGTAGAAATTTGGGTTTGGTATGGGTTTTGCTAAAAAAGCACTTGACTATGCTATATGGGTAGATAAACTTAATGCTTGAAAATTTTATTAAAAGGTAAAAGAAGAACTATCTAATAATAAAGAAAATATTGATAATATTGTTAGAGATTTGATACAAATCAAGTATAAAGAAAGACAACTTAATAGATACAAATCAAGGAGCGAACTTTCATAAAAAAAGAAACCCAAAACTATTAGAGATATTACAAATGTAAATGATCAACATTTTGGACCAGTAATTCAAGATTCCAGTAATTAAAAATATGTGAGATATTGTCAAAAATGTAAGAAAACTGGTCATTATGCTCTACGATGTCTAAATAAATAAAATTTATATAAAATGCAGTGTTCAATACTTTCTTGTTTGGATTCAAGTTTGAAGATTTCACAACCTTGATATTTTTGGGATTGCAGATTCTTGGCAATTTTTAGAAACTTAGTGTCTTCTTTTTTTAATAGATTTTTACTAGTAATAGGTAGTGATAGGACCCGCTTATTTATAATAAAGGTCACCGTAACTCTAAGGTAAAATCACTAAGAAAATTTTGATGATCCTATTAATATAAATAATAGATAAATTATATCTAAAAAAGGAAATATTACACTGCATTATTATGATTTTTTTCCTTTTAAATCAATTAACCAATAATATTAAGAATTGAAGTAAAATAAAATTACTAGTATATTTGAAATTTTTTCTGGAAACCTTTATTAGAAATAAGTGGGATCCTGCAGTGATGGTTCTTGGGTCTTATATTTTGGAAATATCAAGGATTATTATATAGTTTAGTGTAGTACACTATAGCTTAGCTTTTTAGATAGAATGATTATTAATTATAAGGATGCTTTATTCTTTGGATAAACATCTCTAAGTATTTCAAAATTAATATTACTGTATTACAGTGTTATATATCCAATAAAAAAATGTGTTACTTATTCAAAAAAAAAAATCTATATGAAGTAAAACAAATAAATTTTTTTTAAAAAAAATTTTAAGATTAATAAAAATTTCAGATAATTGGCTAAAAATTACATAAAATGTAAATTTTTAGAAAGGGTGATTTAACCTGGATGATTTAACCCAGAGGGAGGGAAGGGAGGACAAGTTAGCAAAACTCAATAAATAAATAAAAATTATCTTAATAATTTTAATGTAATTAAGTGTAATACTACATTATTTAGTATAATTGCAGTATTTTTTAGTGCAATACCATATAATCTAGTATAGTGCTACATTTTTTAGTGTAATTTAATGTAATGTACATTAGTCAAAATAGGACAATTCAGCCTAAATTTAATTAGGTCGAATATAGCTAGGTCAAATGATGATCTAACTTGTGTCAAATTGAAGTCAAATTTTTGGGCATATTTAAGGTGCCAATCATCTTATATTCAGAAAGGATATTTGACTAACATTAGACCTTAATTTTACTATCATTTAACTAGAATTAATAATTTATTAGTAATTTATTAGACTTGAATTTTAAGCCAAATTATAGACTATTGGTAGTAAATTTTTTACTGAAATGTTTCCGAATTTATTCATTTTATTAAATATTTACATTATATTACAAATTATGCTATCTATTTTAATTCTAATCTATTTGCAAAATTCACCAGAAATTGTTCAACAAAAGAGCTGATTTTTTTTACAAAAAAGAAAATAATGTTAAAAAAAAGTATTAAATAGTGTTTTGAAGAAAATTTTAAAACTTACCTGTATTCATTAAATATTCCAGATTCGGCTATCTAAGGAACTGATATCTATAAAAAAAAATAAAATTTTAAAAAAATAAATTAAAAAAAAAATGAAAGTTTCAAAATTTCAAATTAAAACTTACTATATCGGTATATTCAAGTCCTAAAGCTGAAAGAATCAATACATATAAAAAAAAAGAAAAAAATTAAAAAAAAATAAAAAATAAAAAAACGTAAGTTTTGCTTCGAAACTTATCAAATTCAAATTTCAAAGTTAGTGTCAGCGCTCTACAAAAAAATATGAAAAGAAATGTTAATTCGTTTTTCATATTTAAAATAAAAAAATTCTCTTCCTCCATCCTCTTTCCCCATTTCTTATCTTAAAGTCCAGTTTTGTGTTCAAGTTGGCATCCTCTTACGCATCCTACAAAAAAAGTAATGAAAAAAACATAAGTTCATTTTATAAATTAAAGAAACCTCTTCTTTCCCTGTTTCTTACCTAAAGTCCAGTTTTGTGACCAATCTGGTGCTTTACAAAAGAAAAACAATGAAAAAGAAATGTTAATATGTTTCTTAAATTAAAAAAAAAATAAAATAAATTTTAAAAAGTTTTGAAGCAAAGTTTTGCTTTGAAACTTACCAATTCATTCTAAAGTTCAATGTTGAAGGAACTGGATACCTATAAAAAAAAAATAAAATTAAAAAAAATAAACTAAAAAAAATTATTATATTAGTTTCAAATAAAAACTTACCATATTGGCATAATAATAAAAAAACCAAGATTCATACTTATGAATCTTAGTTCTTTTTCAAAAGCTCCAAAAGCTAAAAAAAGAAAGAATAGTTATTAGTAACCATTTATAATATTAAAAAAAAATAAAAAAATAAAACCAAGATTCCTTATTTACGAACCTTCAGTTTTTTCCCATTTTTCTAAACATGGAAACCCGCTCAAACTCAAAAAAAAGAAAAGAACAGTTATTAGTAACTGTTCGTAATATTCAAAAAAATAAGAAAAAAAAATTAAGATTTGTATATACAAATCTTTGGTTTTTTCCTGTTCTTCTGAACACAAAAGCACATCCAAACCTATTGTTATCCTGTCAACAATTAAAGCCGACTGAAAAACTTTAATGCTTTAACAGGTTAACTGGAGTTTAACTTAATAGGAGAATCTTAAGTTGATCACAAATAATCACGTGAAATAACGTTGGATGTTCAGTTAAAGAAAATAGGTTTTTATTAAAATAATGTAAGATTTTGGATACGATGAAAATATAGATAATCTCTTGGTTACGAAATTAACTATCTTGAATTATATTACTGGGAATAATACTCTTTTCATATAACTCGAAAACTACAATATGATTCTTAACTATCTGACTGACCTTTCCTTCTTGGTAAAATCTTATTACTATTTATAATAAAATAAAAATCAAGAATATTTGATAAAATAAATAAAACAAATATAATAAATAAATAAAATAAATAAAATAAAATAAATAAATAAGATAAAATAAATATATCAAATAAATAAAATATAACAAATAAAATAAATAAAATTAATAAAATAAATAAATCAAATATATCAAATTTATCAGATTTATCAGATTTATCAAATAAATCAAGAAAATCAAGAAAATCGAAAAAATCAAGGGATCTATGAAATGATCTACAAAATTGATCTACATAAAACTACTGCGCCACATTTCTATTTTAACACTTCCCCCCCTTAAAGAACGAACTCTTGTGAGTCTTTAAATTTCCAATACCAATTGCTTAATTTCGTTTTATTTTAAAGATCTTATCAAATTAACAGTAGTATTAACGGTACAATAAATCTGAGTAGGACTTGTTTCAAAAATATAATAAACATGAACAGAAATCCAATAATAATGTTCTGAAACTATTTGTCTAACTTGCTTCTTTGTTAATTCTTTTTGTTCAATAAGCTGTCCTAAGAAATATGCGAAAACTAGAGCTGGAATTCTTTGTTTTAATCGTTATGCTCGTAACAAACATCGGTAAGTCATATGAATTTTTGTTTTATCATCTATTTCTTCTGAATAAGGTTCGTCTTGTAATTTGTGAGAACTATTTCCTTCAATTAATAGGTCTTGTAACACAATTTCGTAAGGCATCATGATGAGAAAAAGTGAATCATAACAAAATAGAACACGTCTTTAAATAAGAATTTCATTGTCGCACTTAATTAATTAATATTATTAATGATCAACTACTAATTTCGGTAGATCGTGACATTATTGTTTCACTAATTTAGTTTGATTGACTTTACTCCTTAAATTAGTTAATCGCGTATTACTATTTTGAAACATTTCTCCTTGTTCTAAAAATAACTTTTCTTCTCCTTAATTATTTCCACGTGTAATAATTATCAGCTGTCACTGAATTTTTCGCGTCATTTTTGTTATTTCGTCTAGAGCATATTTTCTCGCATCATGTCTTTTTCTTATTTAAGAACCTAATTTTTCCTTTTCCCTTGTTCTTCACTTCTTGCAAAATCTTTTTGCATATATCACCTTTATTAAAATTTACATATTTTTCCTAATATTCTTATTATTAAAATGGGCTGCCATTGATCAAAAACATTTCAAAAAAAATCACAAGCTCGCTTTAAGGTCCTAAAGGCTGCTCGTAAATCACAACTTCGTCAACTTGAGGGTGAGTATTGCACACAAGGTTCTTAAAATGTTTCTTAAACGGGGATAGTCTGCAGACAGGGTACTTGTACCTCTAGGATATTTAGTCTTGAATGGACTCCCCTATAGAACTTTTCTGGGCTATCGATTTATTCACTTAGTCTTTGACTAACTTGATGTTTCTACTTTCCCATTTAATAACACAAGATCAAGTTCAAACGTTACAATCTAAAAATGATTCCTTACAAGCTGAAAATAATTCATTACAAGAAGAAATTATGACCCTAACAGAGTTTGGTATTTTGCAGTCCAGGCAAATCCATCATTGAGAAGAAAATGCGCAATCTAATAACGAACTGTGGGCTGTCGTCCAAAAGGAATGTTGGGAGGCCCAGAAAAAGGTTATTCAACAAGATGAAGAAATTGTCGGTTTAAAGAACGAAGTAAAACAACTGAAGAGGGAAAATAAAAGCACTACGTATAGTACAAAATATTTTGAAACTAAATATTATCATGCAATGAGTGTTATACACAAATATGGTATAATTGTTATTGACGATAATATGCCCAAGTTTCCTTCATTTGTACCTTCATCTTCATCTTCATCTTTTTCCTCTTCTTCTTACGATCAAATATTTGTTGCTAATGGTCCTGATTATATTAATGATAATAATGATAATAATAATGATGATAATAACGTTGATAATAATATCAATAATGAACAATAATAATTTTCTTATTCTTAATAAAATTTTTGTACTATTTTCAAACTATGACTATTGGTTCCAATTTTCGCTCGTAATATTTCTTAAGCCTATTCCCATGAATTACGTGTTTAACTAATTTTTCATCTAAATTTCTAAGTTTATAAACATTATCATTAAGTACTTCATAAATGAAATAAGGACCTATCCACTTATTTTCTAATTTTGCCGAGAAATTATTTTTAAGCCACGTTCGTTCTACTAAAACTTGATCTCCTATTTTCAATTTTTCTGAAATTCCTCATTGATCATATACTTGTTTTTGCTTTGCCTGTTCATTTTCAATTCTTAACGAAATATCATTTTGTTCTTCTTTTAATTTGACTATCAATTGATAAATTCGTCTTTGCATTGGATCCTTTTCATTTTGAGGTATTTGTGATGGAATTTTTAAATCAATTGGTAAAGTTGCTTTTCGTTCATAAGTTAAATAGAATGGTGTTTTTTCCGTAGTGTTATATTTTTTCGTTCGATATGCCAAAAGTACTGCATCGATTAATTGATCCCATTTTTTATTATTATCTTGAACTAATTTTGCTATACATTCACCAATTGTCCGATTAAATCTTTCAACCATTCCATTTGTTTGAGGTCTATAAGCTGAGGTAAGGTGATGCTTAGTTTGATAATTTTCGCATAATTCATCAATTAATTTATTCATAAATGATGTTCCTCTATCTGATAGAATTTCTTGTGAAACTCCATGTCTACAAATAATTTCTTCATAAATAAATTTAGCTACTGTTTCTGCTTTAATATTGGATATCGCTCTTGCTTCTGGCCATTTTGTAAAATAATCCATGGCGACAATAATATATCTATTTCCACTACTGGTGATTGGTAATGGTCCTTTAATGTCAATTCCTATTCTGTGAAATGGTCCTTTAACTGGTATTGGTATCAATTCTTCTCGCCAATTGGTAGGTCCTCTTCTTTGACAAATATCACAAGTTTTTATATATTCTTTTACATCTCCTAATTGTGACCAATAATATCGATCTTTGATTTTTCCAATTATAACGTCTATTCGCACCGCTTATATCTGTATGAAAGTGATATAAAATAGGTTCTACTTGTTCGTGTAGAATTACTTTTCTTATACCATTCTTTGTTTTTCTAAATAAAATATTGTTTTGATAAATATATTGGGTTGAGTTTTTCCGAATTTGGGTTTTCCGTTTATCACTCAGTTATACCATCCATAAAAGTGAAAGTTATTAAAAATAAAATTAATTCGTTATATAGTCATTCATCCATAATCGTTATATGAGGTTAAAGGGTTGGTGTGATTATTAGTTGAGGTTGAGTCAAGACGAGAGAATGCATCAGCATTCGCATGTTTAGTTCCTTTTCAATATACAATGTCATATTTATATTCTGATAAGGCAATCTTCCATCTTTCCAATCTTTTATTATTATTTTCCGTTGTTGAATTTAGTAACCACTTGAGTGCTGCATGGTCAGTGATGATGGTGAATTTACTTCCATAAAGATAATGTCAAAAATATTTAACTGCCCATACAATCGCAAGGCATTCCAATTCTGTGATGGCATAATTCTTTTCCGCCAGTATTAAAGTTTGACTAGCATAGGCAATCACATACTCTTGATCATCAGTTTTCTGTGCAAGTACTGCACCTAACCCTATAATTGAAGCATCGGTATATAAAAAGAAAGGCTTTAAAAAATCTGGGTATTGTACAATCGGTGCTGTTGTTAATTTATCTCTTAAATCCTCAAATGCTTTCTGTTGTAAATTCGTCCATTCATAAGGTGCATCCTTTTTTAATAATTTGTACATTGGATCAGCAACTTTAGTAAAATCTTTGATGAAGTGTCAATAATAAGAGAATAATCCTAGGACTCCGCGTAATTCTCTAATATTTTGAGACTCTGGGTAATTAACCATTTTATTGACTTTTTCTGGATCAGGTTTAACACCTTCTTTTCCTACAACATGTCCTAAAAATTGAAGTTCAAGTACTGCAAAATGACATTTCTCTGCTTTTAATCTTAGATTCGCCTTACGAATTCTATTTAAAACTTCTTCCAAATGTTGAATATGATCTTTAAAAGTTTTTGAATATATAATGACATCGTCAAGATAAACTAAAATGAACTTCTCCTTTATTCCATGTAAAACTTTATCCATAGTTTGCTGAAATGTCGCAGGTGCATTGCAAAGTCCAAAAGGCATAACTTTGAATTTATATGTTCCAAATTTGGTGATAAAGGCTGTTTTTTCCTGGTCTTCTGCCCTTACTTTTATTTGCCAATACCCTGATGCTAAATCTAAAGTGGTGAACCACTGTGCATCTTGTAGAGAATCTAATAATTCATCAATTCTTGGAAGCGGGTAATTATCCTTTTTGTAATATCGTTAAGAGCTTTATAATTAACGCAAAACCTAAGTTTTCCATTCTTCTTTTTCACTACTACTACTGGAAATGACCATGGACTAGTTAATGGTTCTATTAGCCCTTGTTCTAACATGTCATTAATTTCACTCTCAATAAATTCATTTTCCTTTGGTGCTGTCCTATAGGCTCATTTTTTGATAGGTGGCACTTCTTCAGTGATAAATGATAATAATATGTTCCCCTTCTGGAGTTTGTTTTAACTCTTGCAATGATTTAGCGAATAAGTCTTTATTTTTATCTAGTAATTGATGGAGTGATTGATATTGACTTTCCTCTAATTCTTCAATCGGAATAACTTTTTCTGGTTCTAATTGAATATTAGATACATTCGGACTTTCTGATTCTTGCATCACGTGATAAATGTTCCAATTTTCTTGAATGATTTGACAATTATTACAAACTTCTCGATCTCCTAGGGTTTTACATAGGCATTTTCCTGGCCCTTTACTATTAATTACGCCAGTACTAAAGATGTTAGCCGTAATTCAAAAAAGTGTCGTAATACAAAATTTTTATATGCCGTAATTAATTAAGGCTATAAAAATCTTATAGCCGTAATTCAAAATTTTTTAAAAAATAATTAAGGCTAACATCTTTAACCAGTACTATTGTGACTTTGTTGCTTAATATATTTCAAATACCCTGGGTGATATTCTCGATCATTGATTTGAAAAGTACTTTTGGTTATTTCTGTCTTATAAAATAGAACTGCTATGGTGTCTTCTAACTCATCTTCTAATTCTAGTTCATCTACTGGGTCAATGACTGTATATTTTGTTGGGTCCAATTTTTGAGAACATGTGACAGAAATTTGTTGTTAGATTCCTTAATATTTAATGGTGATGGTATTCTGTCCATAATCAATGTTTGCATTAACCGTCTTCAACCATTCGTTACCAAGCAGAACATTATATTCAGCTTAATTCGTAACTATCATATTAATATATATAGACTTTAATATCTCTCATTTGCACTGGAACTTGCTGAACCATTCCTAATGGTGATGATTTTTGTCCTGTTACATCGATGATTTTAATATTTGTAGGTAATTCAATTCCTTTATTGACTTTATCTAGGAATCTTTTAGAAATAATACAACCTACAGCTCCTGAATCTATTAAGACATTAACAGGCTGTCCATATACAATCGCTTCTCCATACAAAGCTTCTTCAGCTCTTTCTTTTTGATTAAGATATGCTGGTTCTTCTCTAATCAATTGGTTAAGAATATTAGTATAATAATTAACTAGTGTTGGGGTTAATTCATTATGTTTCGCCATAAATTGGAATTGTTCAAAAGAAGTAATTGTCCAAGCTCCTTGTTTTTCAGGTTCAGTTCGCTGTAACTCTTGATAATCAGGTACTTTCGTTAAGTAAATATCACAATTAAAAGCTGGATCGTTAAATAAAAATACACATTCATCTTTTTTAATATCTAGCGCTGTTTCTTCTTTTGTTTCTCTAAGCACAGCTTGAAAAGAAGATTCACAATTTTCTACTTTTCCTCCTGCTACTTGCCATAAATTATACATTGTTTTATTTTTCTGTAGTCGTTTCGATAAATAAATTCCAAAGTTATTATATAAAATATTGAGAACATATGTAGGTCTTTTTAATAGTTGAATAGGCTTTTCAATAGGTCTGATTTCTTCTAATAAGTCCTTCCAATTCACTCTTTTAGTACTAATTTCGTTAGAGGGTTTTCTAAAATTCGCACTCTTCCTCTCCAGAGGTGCGCTTAGTAGTTTAAACGACCATTATTTTGGAAACCATTATTAGTTCCATTATTACTATTATTATTATTTGATGGTGGTGACCTGCAATTCCTGGATACATGTCCTTTTCTTCCACAATTGTAACAATCAACATTCCTTAAATCTCTCCCATTATTGTTGCGATTATTATTATTTTGTTGATTATTTCTTTGAAGACAGTTTTTTACGATGTGTCCAGTTCTTCCACAGACATAGCATTCTGAATTATTCCTGTTTTAATTATTATTATTATTGTTATTTGGAATAGGACTGGTTGGTTTAGTTTCTGTACGTATTTGACTTAATGCTGCAGTAATTTCTTCGCTGATTTTTCGTTCAATCATCTTTTCTACACTTTCTGATTGGAAATAACTCATTGAATAGGCGGGTTGGTACATTGCTAGGTTAGTTCGAGCAGGAATCATTCTTCCATTCATATTTTGTAAATATCCTGGCATCATTAAATAGACTGATAAATCCATTCCCATTGAAAAAGCAGTTTCTAATGCTTGTGCTTTTTCCATTGCTTCTTCCACTGTTTAAGGCATAGCGGATTGTACAGGTACAACAAATTCAGGTCTTAAACCTTCAATAAATTCATGAATTTTATCCAATTCCATTCGTCTATCTGTAGGATCTACTCTTTTCCATAATTTTGTAATTGCTGTGATATATTCTTCAATTGTTTCACCTTGTTTTTGTTTCCTATTTCGCAGTTGATGTTTCCACTGACTAATCCTAAAAGGATTACAGAAATGATCCTTAAATAAATGTGTAAATGATCATTGAG